CCCCACCCCTGCACACACATGCTCCATGCTGGAAAGTAGCAGGTGGCGAACGGCTGCATATGCAGTGTGTGGCACTGCAGACCTATGTGCAGTGCCGTATACTGCATGTCCCCACTCGTCTGAATGTGTCCCTGTTGTGTTACAGATTTGAACCGGTTTCCGATCGCTTATACCAGTGTATGTGACATTTCTGTCCCTAGCCTATGTGTTTATAGAAAGTTTGATCCAAATTCTTGGAGATAAACAACAGTGAATCTAGTTTAACCTTCTAAGCTGAAAGGAATTAAATGAGGCCACCCTAAGCAAACAGTGCTTCTGAATTTGAAACCCCAGTTTAGCTAGTCTAGACCATTGTGCAAGCTTGTTTGTGTCCCTTTAAGCATTCACTAAGTTTACATTCAGTTTGAATCTGTAGTTTTTAAATGCTCGGCACAAAGTGACATTGAGAGATTTCACTTCACATGCTCTGTTTCTCCTGTTAATTCTAATTCTCAAGGGCCCTTCACAGAAATTTAGATATCATTAGCTAATATGTTCATCTGCATAATTTCATCTTTAAGATTTTCTTCCTATTAAACACGTGATCAGTATGCATTCCTTGGGAGGTCATTATCACAGCTCTGATCTTAATGAAGGCAACTGGGTAGTCATGTGTGCTTCCAGAAGACCTCAGTTGTAACTGCCTGGTACATAAGAACTACCCACAGCACACTTTGTGCTAGCAGGAAGATTGAGTGACTACAAAAAACAATGGGTGAGAGCCTTGGGCCTGATACACGGAGAGCACAGGTCATGGTGATGTGCGTAGCTGTGGCTTAGAGGTTATTTAAAACATTTGTGAATCTTTGGATTTTTTGTAAATGTTTTTTTTGGTGCATTTTTGTGAATGTTGGTCTGTCCAGATGTACTGACTCATTAGCACTGCTGTCAAAAAATAAGACCTAATGCCAACTTTGCTAGCTTTCACCCTCAAGTTATACTTTTGCTGGAGTGCCTACCAACTAATCATGCTAGCTGAAGTAGAAATGGGCACAGATGGCGTTATGCAGAATCATTAGGTGGTGTAGTAGCTAATCTATGTCACTACATGATCTCAGCAGTATTAGAGCTGCTGAGGACTATTTGGAGTGTTTTGTGTTTTTTCCCTTCAGAAAATGCTATCGTTGGGAAGATTTATTATGGCCAAGATCAGGTGTATAGTGAACAACAATGAGCTGTATGCTGTGGTGATTAGGGGCCCAGTTAGGATAGGGGAAACACACATCTTTTTCTGTTTAGGACCAGAGACTTAAAACTGGGTTACCACCCCCCACAATCAATGCCCTAAACCCTAGGTTACAGCATCCATGGCTCTGGCATAATGGACATTTAATTACTTTTTAAGCGTAAGTCAGCTTCAGCACAGGAGATGGAGACAAAGGCTAATTCTAAAGTCCACTAGGTAGGAACCAACATCTCTGTTGTAAGAGACCCAGGTTCAAGACCTGGGCCCAAATCACAGATTCTTACTTTCCAGCTAATGCTGGTCATTCCTGCCCTCCTCCTCCTTGTCAGAATTGCCACTTACATCTTGTTTTTAAATTAAATTATAAGCATTCGGGGGCCATGGAATGTGTTGCATTATGTCTGTATGTTGCCTTGTACAATGAGATGCTGATCCTGCCTGACTGGTGCCTTCAGAAGACGCTATTGTAACACATTGGCAAAGTGTCGTTACCTTCTCCTCTTCAGTCTGCTAATAGATAACACAACCTATTATAGATAACAGCCAAAGGGGATAACTACCATAGTGGCCAAAGTTTCTTCTATACATCCGAGAGCTCCAGGTGAAAATCCTGTTGATGACCCACCCCAATATCATTGCCGTACAAATAACAATAACAACACTAACTAAAATCCAGGATGAGGCTTTACTATCATTTGAATACAGATCCAAGCTGCATTTCCAGCACCTCTCACTTCAACAGATGGAACAAAACATTGGATCTGGGTCTCCACCTATGCTTTGTGACTGGTGCACTTGGTGTAGTGGAAAATAAGCTAGCATTGCTACCAGCTGCTATGGGCTTCAGCAAGATTGTTCTTCTTTTTGACTTACTAAGGAAGAGAGCATTGTCCCCAGGGCTATGGTGAAACATAATGAAATATGTTCTGCATGACATATGGATGTCTTATTTACCTTGACATGAATTTGCTGAGCACAGATCATAGAGTTGGGTTTTATCAGATTTCCCACACATACAAGAGATTATCCAGATCTCCTGCCACTGACACCCCCATCCCATTGTTCCCTCTTTTTAGACCACGTGGTACTGCATTCAGTGGAAAGGATAAATAAATCCAATAGTTCTACAGCATCTCGATGAGAGGTGGCAAAACTAGGATTAGTACAACCTTGCGTGAGCTTCATGGGTATGAAAGGAATGGAGATGTGTAGTTTGTTCCTTTAGAGGAGCTGGGATGAGGTGGGGAGAAAGGGCAGTTGGAGCATGACAGTTAACATAGTGCTGTACCAAGTCTCACGTTACTTGGTGTTCAGGGTGAAGCCCCAGCTCCTGGAGCCAGGTTATTTTGTGAGACCTTGGCTTTCATTAAAACCCCCAAACTTCTAGCTCTTTGACTGCCAGAAACCCAAGCATTCACATTACATTAGGGATCCAATACCCATAATAAAAGCAAAGTTGTGCTTTTTAGCCAGTGGCATGGGATTTTGAGGCCTGACTCCAGAGTTTCAACTGCTTGGAGTTGGTTAGACTGGGGCAAAGGCTGCTAAGTTGGACTTACGTTTGGAGGACATAAGAAGCAGCACAAGTAAAGAAGCCAGCAGTCACTAAAGGCTGTATGAGGCCTTCGCAAGAGCATTTCAGCAGCTGAACGGAGAACTTTTGGGTGGCAAAGAAGGAGCTATTAAGGAAGGTAGGGGTGTGTGCGTGTGTGTGACAGAGAGAAAATGTGGAGAAGGCTGAAAAGAGAACATGCATCAATGGAGGGGAAAACAGAGACTAGAGGGAGGGGAAAGAGTCAGAGAATGATAAAGATGGGAACATTTGAAGATACTGCCTGCCACATCTGCACTCTCTCTAGAGCAGCTGTTGCAGCCACGCTGTTTCAGCAAAGGTCAGGCACCACTTGTTATAAATTATATTTTCTAAGGATCAGTATTTTGTCTGCTTAAGATCACTGGATTGGCACTTTTCACAAAATACATGATATGTTGTTTCCTGGAGTGGGAATTCCTATGTACAGAAAAGCATAAATTGCCTACAACATTTATAGTGGCAGCAACAAAAATGTCCCCCTTGTAATGTTCTAATGTGAAACCTATATTAATGCAAGTCTCTAGGGACCTGGAATGATGCTGTTTAAATGTGAAGTTATATGGGAAAACTATTTCTATGCTGGCCTAGGAAGTCCAGAATTAAAATGTGAGATTGCAGAGAAAATTAATCCATAGCAATCATTGGGGAACAACAACATTATAATTTAAGATATAATGGGAAAATGATTTCAGTGCAATTCTGTTGGGACACGTAGCAATGTCACTTCATGTAGAAAAAACTATTTCAATGCAGGTCCATGGAGACCTGTAACAATACAGCTTGGGTGTGCAGTTCCATAGGAAAAGGATTTCAATACCAATGTGATGAGGCTAAATAAGGTCATTAGATTATAACGAGAAAATTATTTGAAGCAAAGAAGGCTTAAACAATAGACACAGAACAGCTGCACTGAGTTTCACCCACTTCAGTTGTGGACAGTCAGCGAGGAAGCTGATCCTAATGTGCCTTTCCAGGCCCTCAACTTGAGGACAGCTAGGAGCTGAAACACTGTCCCCAGCCTAACTTAGAGCAGCCTGAAGACTGCAATAATTAGCTGGATGGAGTGATCTTGGAGAGACCTTTATGTTGGCTGAAGAACAGTCAGAGTGCTGTGCATTCTGGCCTGCCCCCAGGGCCAGCCACAGGCATGGGTGAACCAGGTGGCCACCGAGGACCTCGACAGGAAGGGGGCCCGAAAATAGTAAAAATAATGATTATTATTATTATTATCTCTGGCGAAGGGGGGCCCAATACTAAAAATTTGCTTGGGGCTGCCAGCAGTCTAGGTATGGTGCTGCCCGCCCTGGTGTGCTTTCTTCACAACCCTTCACCTATATGAAGAAGGTGGGGAATGCCTGGCTCTGTCTAAGAAATTCTGCGCTATTGCCTTGCAGCAGTTGTTATATGGCTGCTTTGCTTTGTGGTATTTTAGAAGAACAGCCAGTTCTGGGGCTGAGATGGAGCACACAGGGGAATACTTCCTTTTGTGAAGTCTCCTGAAGAGGTGGCCCTGGTCCAAACACTGCCCCATATGCCAGACTTTGCAGAGATTAAACTAAACTGCACAGTTCAAATCTATTGCTTTGCCTATTTCCAAATACATCCAACCTCTAGGAAAGCTGAGATTCTGATTTGATAATGCTGATTAGCAATTCACATTTAAATGGACCCAAACAAAAAGCCAGTTTTGAATAACCTGTTGAGTACCTGGATTTGGAAATCTGGATTTCACAATCCAGACCAATCTGTCTCTGTACAGACTGCATTAAAGTAAGGATCTAATTTACCAAGAGAATAGCAGTTTCCCTAAGCTTGTCTTCGCTTGAAATTCCACAAGCACAAATTCTATGAAGACACCATTACCCGGTGCCACGAAGATGCGATATTTTCACAGGGGAACTAAAATGTATTTCCATGCGTTTCCTGTTAGGTTTTACACAAGTGGTAGTTACTCATCAACACAATTAGCACTCTTGAAATTTCATATCTAGATAGATTGACATAGTAAGTGTATGGGTAAATGGATGAAATTGGCTTTGTCACCTTTAAGCACTAGATGTATTAGTTTTAATAATTTATAACCAACATCTTCTGTAACATGACCTTTAAGAAGCTGTTAAAGTCTTTGGCTGCATCCAGTACCTGTTTAGTTAGTAGGAAGACAGCAATTAACAATGCAACTGTAATTTAAAGTGTTATTTATTCGTTTACAACCACAGTTCAGTTGAAGTACTACACACCCCAAAATAAAAACGCAACATGATCCTGCTTTACTCAACACGCGACACTTGGCCTCAGCAAATCCAAAGCTTATAAGACTTCATTTATCCAGACTTTCACCCTTCCTTTGAGAGAGAGACCTGAACCGCAAATATATTCCTCAACTGTCCCCCATTTCACAGGGTGTTATTTGCTCTCGTTACAAAATTGTTTCAATCACTCTGACGTATTCTCGCATTTATTGTTGCAGAGTGTCTATTTCAGAACCATTGTGCTGAGCTTCTGGAAGCAGTTATTTGCCTAGAAGGAAAGAATCAGGCAACATTTTAAGTGCCCTATTCTTTTTTTGCCCTTCATTTTCCATCTTTGCTATATATTATGACTTACATTTAGGCCATGCATACAGTGAGGTATGCTGCAGAGTTCAGGCAGATCCAAGTTTGGAGGCTGTTTGGATCCAAGCTCTTGTTTATGTCCATTTCCACTTTCCAGTTGCTGCTGAAGTTGAATGTGGGGAAGGCATAGTAAGCTTGTTTGTATTTTGCCTTTAAAAATGGCAGAAGTGTAAATCATATTGAGAAGTATGTAGCCCTGTCAAGTGACTCACCTCTTTCTAGGAATGAAAGCAGACATTTCAATCCCTTGGCTTTAGATGCCTTCCAGTTGATTTAAGATGTAAAGTATTCTCTTTCGGGCTTCTCGGTATCTGTTTGCAAATAGATTTGGAGTGTGAGCTGCTGAAACACAAAGAGCAGGCTCCAGATTCTGCTCTCGCTTGCTTCTGAGATTTGTGAGATGTCCCGATTACTCAGTCCAAGTGATGCATTAAATTTGGCCATGACTGAGTTTTAAACACTGTTCAAATGACTCATCTGTGTGTTATTAAGCTTAATCATTTGGAGGGAATGCACAGCTTGAGCTACTTTGTCCCAAAACAGAACCCCCCTGCTGCAGGGCCCCTCTTGAAAGGGGCAGGAAGTCACTGGGGGAGGTTGGTTCTGCAGCGTTATCAGTCATGCTGACAAGGAACCTGGGAACAGCCCCAGAGGGCATCATAGGAGCGCAGCCCCGCATTTGAATTGGCCTTATCCTTGGTGGGATCCCCTGGGATACTGGAGAATTGGCAGGTTCTGAGGGATGGCATCTCTAACTCTTACTTGAGGACAAATGGGCAACAGATAATTTCAGAGGAAACTATATGTGAGGGACCACAAAGAATCTTCCCCCCCATCTGGTCCAAGCCACCAGGCCTTGCTTTCACTTACGCCAAGGCCCAGCCTATGCACAGATTCAATTAAATGATTTCAAAATCAATTGGTATTGATGCAGCCCCCTCTTGTGGATATGCTTAAATTGGTTTTAGAGTATCCTGCATTGATTTAACTTAATCCAATACCAAAGTAGTTGCATCTATCGAAGACTAAGCAAAGTCCTTTTGAATGACTAATGCTTCACGACATAAGGCTGGCTTACTTGGTATCACTGTTGGGAATATCATCCATATGTACCAGCTGTCAGACCTTCACCATGAATCTATTGATTGCAATCAATGAACTGATTCCTGATTTACGCTGGAGGGAGCAAGAGGAGGATTTGGGCCCTTTATAATTTCCTGTTTAATTTCCCAACATTTGCAATTCATTACTATCAATCTTTTAATTCAATTGTGTGCAAGTCTTTCTTTTATTACCTACTTAGGCTATCATTTTGCAATAGGACATACTGGAAAACAGTCTAGGCAACCTTCCATTGTTACAGAGAAAAATAAATGAAGTGTAAGATCAATTTATACAGGTTAGTAAAGAAAGATCAGAAGGATCTAATTAAGCTGTAGCTAAGTAATTTAGGTTAAATGTTTGGTAAACCTTTCTTTTAGAACAATTGGCTATGGGACAGGCTGCCAAGAAAAGTTGGGGAATGAGGAACATAGAATTAGAAGGGGCTTCCTGGACTATTAAATCCAGTCCTCTGCATTTACAGGCAACCATTTACTCAAAGTATTCTCAAAATTGCCACACCAAACCCTCAAGTTCAACTAGAAGGCACATAGCCCAAATCATCCTATAACATGACATAGGTAAAAGCATGGGAGACAAGGGCATTGCTAATGACCTGCCACTACAGTGACAAGGGAATAGTTATTATATATCCCAGGAAAAGGACTGAGGAAGGCAAAATCCTCTCAGTCTGTGCAAATCTGACCTAAGGGGAAAATGTCGCCCTCATCTGCATGATTGGCAATGAAGTGTAGATTTGACACTTATCTCTCAAGGAGGCCTGTGGAAGAGGGATCAGTCCTGCTGCTTGGGATGTAGATGGCCCCTCTAATTGTTCCTTTCAACCTCAGTGATTCTGTACCCATTCCTCTTTAAAAATATCTTTGAGATTTTTTAAAGGGAGCTGTTACCTGAAGGAAATTGTCTTGATTCTCACTGTCAAAAATGTCCCTCTTTCCTCTCTTGCCCCAAATATACAAATCAAGTGGGCTTTTGAGCTTGCTGTCAGCAAAGCGGTGTCTTGGCAGGTACCACCAGCCCTGTTCTGTCCTGCTTATCCCTTGGTGTCTGACATACGTTCTCCTCCTTGTTGCATTTTTTTCTTTCCTTGGTTGCTTTGAGATCACCATCTTCTCATTCCTTTGTTCTGCAGAACCTACTTGCTGGGGAAGCTTCTCTAGTGGCTGCTTCACAGGACCAAATTCTCACTGAGGACAGTGAGAACAGAGAAGCTGGGATCCACCTAGAGTTATCCGAGCCTGCAGCTCTATACAACTTGAGAGGCTCCTTTAGCTCGATGCAGTGGAAGCCAGTCTTGGGAGGTGGCTTTCCAGTACAGCTTAACTCACAGGAGTGTATTTATAGAAGAACGGTGAGGCTGTACAGTTTTTCCCATACTCTATTTATGTCCCATGTGCCCTTGAACTAATCATAATCAGCACACCCCCAGCAAGCTCGAGTCTCTCTTTATGGGCCAAAAAAGGATAGGGAGAATGAAGAGAGAGATCTCTGTAGCAGGGCACTGAGGTGCCTGCTACTTGTGGAGCAGTAAGTGAGGTGCTCAGCTGCGGGTTGCCAGGGTAACCGGTGGGAATCAGCTGACCGGAAGGGGCAGGGCCTGGCTCCCATATAACTGCCAGGCTGAAGCCAGGCAGGTAGTTGCCTGCCAGCAGCCATAGGGGTAGGAACTCTGCCGGAGTGAGAAAAAGGAAGCGGCTACAACGCACAGGCAGTCGTTCGGGTGAGAGATGGAGACCCGGTGACAGACTTGAAGGTGATTATGGCCAGATGGCTTAGGTTTACGTTGTAGCCAAAGGGCTTGAATTTGCATTGACGGTTTACGACCAGAAGACCGGGTGAGGATATAAGGGGATGGAGGAGGCCTCATAGGGGAGCCACGGCCGCGTGGAGACCCCAGAGAAGCCCCGGAGAGGGGGCCGCGAGAAGCCCCGGAGAGGGGGTAGTGAGAAGCCCCAGAAAGGGGGCTGCAGAAAGCCTGAGCGCCTGTGGGGCACGATTGCGAGACAAGGCTTTGGAAAGCCCGAGCGCCTGTGGGGCGTGATTGTGAGAACGAGGGGGCGTTAACGCAAACTTGGCATGGTAGGGGGTGCTAGGGGAGAGCATGGCAAACCTAGGATGCTTCCCCCGCCTGGTACAATTTCATAGACATTAGGGCTGGACGGGACCTTGGAAGATCATTGAGTCCAGCCCCCTGCCCCAAGGGTAGGAAGTCGGCTATGGTCAAAGGATCCCAACAAGATAGGCGTCCAAACATTTCTTAAAAGAGTCCTGAGTAGGTGTTTTCACTGCCTTTGGAGGCAGTCTATTCCAGGCCTTGGGGGCTTGAACAGTAAAGAAGTTTTTCCTTATGTCCAGCCTAAAACGGTCTTGGAGGAGTTTGTGACCGTTAGACCTTGTCATCCCTTGGGGTGCTTTGGTGAACAGGCATCCCCCCAGATCCTGATGCACACCCCTGATGTACTTACAGGCCTGAGCCTGTGCTTTTCCAAGCTGCAGAGTCCCATAGCTCTCAGCCTCTTTTCATAAGGCCTGTTCTCCTGCCCTCTGATCATGTGCGTGGCTTTCCTCTGGACTCTCTCAAGCTTCTCCACATCCTTCCTGAATTGTGGAGCCCAGAATTGGATGCAGAACTCCAGCTGATGCCTCACCAAGGCCAAGTAGAGTGGGAGGGTGACATCCTGAGATTTGCAAGAAGCTAGATGACATCCTGAGATTTAGAAGCTAAATGCACCTCAGTGCATGCAAAAAAGATTGCATCTGCTTCACAGCCCCTGCTTCACTGAACAGGTTGTGAGCCAGTGGTGTAACTGTGTTAGGACGAGGGTGGCACCTTCCCCAGGCACCATCTTGGAGTTTTTGCTATGGCAGGGTAAACTCCACACTGTCTCTGCCTGCCCACAGGAGCTGGGCAAGGCAGTGCTGCCCTAAACAGTGTATCTGGGAGGTGGAGGGCAAGTGGGATAAGCAAAATGATGCCCTCCTCCTCCACACTGGCTGCTCAGTAAACATCCTACTCCACTGCTATGAGTACAGGGAAGTTTGAAATTATTTCAAGTGGGTGCTAATGAGGCAAATGTGTGTGTTCTGTGTGTGTGTGTGTGTGTCTGTATGAATATGTACACATGTGGGTGGATCTGGATCCTGGAACTAATCCTGCAGACCTTGCCCAGCAGAAGTCCCCTTAGAAGTGAATGGGAATGTGGTAGTTGGTAAAGGATGCTGCAGGTGGGACTCTGATGATCTGTTATTTGGAAATGTTTGTGTGCATAAGTGTGAATGTGCGTGCAAGAGAGAGAGAGTAGGTCTAGAAGAGCTCTTCCCTTCTCATTCCTGGTTCTGCTCGAAAAAAAACCTGGGGCTTGCCTGGGTCACTGTGTATGAATGGATTAAGCATATTCTGCCTGGAAAGAAGCACCTCCTAAATACTGTGGATATAATAAAGTATCAGCCACTATCCCTTTGCTCTGTTTCCTTGCCGCAAATTTCCAACAACATCTAGCCTTTTCTGTGTTATCTTGTGTATGTGCAGGAAGACCAGAAGCAAAATAAATTTGTATGCCAAAGGCTAAGGCTGTAAGGAGCATTTTCTATTCCTGTGCAGGGCCAGATTAACACACAGGCAAACTAAGTCGCTAAGTGAAGAAGGGGCCCAGTTGTGCTTATTTTACATATTATAATTATTGAGTGAAAAAAGTAGGGGCCCGCAAGTGTGTTTACATAGAACCCACTAAAGGGTTAATCCAGTTGTGCAGTAATAAAGAGCAGAACAGGACTTTGAAACATTGTGCAGTGAAATGTTTAGACCACCCACTGACTTTTCAGGTATGTAAAAACACTCCAAGCTGGGTGACTTGATAACCAAGAAGCACTTGAACGTTCTGATTTTGGAAAGATGTTCAGACAATGGACTTTGAAGTTTTTTCTTTTCTTTTTCCTGGGAGGAGTTTCTGGAAAGACTGCAATTTAACGTAGATGGGCCTCTTAGGGGTCACAGTCAAGGTCAAATTCCTCCCTCTGCTACAGTTATTGTTAAGGAAGTTACTGGGTTTCAAGTTAGGATTTTTTTTTTTTCTTTTGTTACTTTTTATTTAAATGTTTTCATTTTCCTTAACTCCCTCCTGCATCTTTTTACAGGTGTGACAATCCTGACCCCTCACTCAGGAAAATGTGACAGACACTCAAATCCTGAAGGGTATGCTAGATAGATACAGTATGATACCAACATGGCTATAGTGCTTTTGAAATCCCATCTAGCTCATTCAGAAGCTCAGATCTCTCTGCCTCACATAGCACTGAGCCGCTTAAACACAGCCACTGGCACCTTCCATCTATTCATGTCTAGAAAGACATGATAAAAATCTGAGGATCAGGCCAGATTGATTTAATAAAAAATATAATCAGAACAATAAATACCCAGCCAATTTCCTATTCCCATTAAGTGCCCAAATGGACATAGATGCCTAAAGTGTGATCTTATTATACCCTGCTTCACTATTAGTACAAAGTGTACATTGATCCTCTTCTTTTTACTGTTTTATTATTATTATTATATGATCTTACATTTAAGATAATAATGTGCTGAAAAAGCAG